CACGCGTTTCCGATCGGTCTACCGTCCGAGATATTCTTTATTCGTTGCTTTCACAATGGGCAAACGGTGTTTCTTGCCAGACATTTACGCGGTTCTCTGCCATTATAGTGTCGTTGTTACCCCTGTGCACATTTGCCCAGGTCTGCCCAGGTCCTTAGACCGTGCGAGATTTACCCCTAACAGGGTAAACCCACTACAGCGTATTCACTTATTGCCATGTGTATGTCTAATATACGAAAAATTGCAGACATTTGCCGAAGACTTTCTTCATATAACGCTTGACATTGTCGTATTTCTTTCTTCTTTCTTATCCCTTTTCCAAAATCGTCATTTTGTAGCGCAAAATGCGTTATCGGATATCTGATTGTTGTACCTTTAGTTGGCTATTCAGTATCCACTGATATATTGTTGCGATCGTGTCGTAAGGGACGCGTGTCCTACCGTGTTCATGTACAATAGTCTATTTGTAAATGAAGATATATGAAGATTTCCACAGCGACTGTGACCAAAGAATTGGGAGCCCTAGTCGCACGCCTGGTTCGTCCGTGCCTAAAAGCACCGCTGTCTGGACATTTACGAGGTCCTCGTTATTGTAACGTCGTTGTGGGCCTTGCGTGTAACCGGCCTGACCGTTCATTGTCGTGTCCTGCTTCTCTCCCGTGCGGAGACACGCGTGCTCACGACTTGGCAGCCGCAGACAATGGTGACAATGACCGCTGGGTGGACCGTTTAGCTCGCCGGCGATCGGTAGAACATTGTCAGCCAAACTGCGGAAAACGGGTGTCTTTTCCACAGCTCAAGCTGTGACCTTTCGGGCATCCAGTTTTATTTCTCTATTTAGGTTCAATACTTTTGGCCGTTAGAGTGGGGATAATTATGATAGATAGGTGCTGACCAAATTCTACATGTGTAAGTGATGCGTGTATGAATCTAAAAATTTCTGTACATCGTACAATTTCATGTCTTAAATTTTCTAAATAATTGAGAACTTGGAATTTCTACTTTGAATTCTTCAAAATACGAGAACCTTATTGTTTTGTAATTTTTTAGATGTCCTGTTTTTAAACCAGATCTTTCTACATCGCTTAGCTAATGTAGTTCTTGATTTTCAGAAATTGCAAAATTTTTACATATACGTAATATATTCCTTTCCAAGATTATAATTATATGCCAAAATTGACGAATAAATAATTAGTAGATATCTAGTTTGCGTTTCTAACTGAAAAAATATAAAACAGTAACTATGTTATTTCGCAAATATGTTGGAAAAAATCATCCTAGTCTATCTTAGCCGCAGGAAGTAGCGTAGCAAAAGCGTGGCACAGGGGAAGAGAGGACTTACGAGGGTTGGGAAGAAAAGTAGCAAGGGGCGGAATGCTGTTAACTTGACGTGTGAATACTAAACACGCACTGACGGTACAATAGGGTACTGGTGCCCCGTGGCGAATGGGGACCCGCCTGTTGAGAACCCCCACGAGTGGGACCGTACGAAAGCAGTCTTGAAAGCAGCTTGTAAATCCCATGGAAACGCGAAACTTCGGGACGAGCGGCGATACGATTGAGGATCGATGTTAATACCGCGCGCGTAATCAGTTTCCTCGTTTTTCATAAGTTATCCCTAAGTTTAAAATTACATCAGATATTGGATTACATAAAATGTCCATAGATTTATGAATATTTTTCTTTTATAAACAAAATTCTTCATTTTAAAAGTTCTTTAATGAAGGGCAACATATATGTATTTATTTGAACAAAACTTTATTTTTTCTCTATCAATTGTTTTTGGCTCAAATCTGAGATTTGCCGGGGTTCAAAGTCGAGTTGAATATGTCTCCGATTCTCCTGTTTGCGTTTCTGCTGGGAGCCGAAAGCTAGAAAAGTAAAGAGCGAATTTACCAGAGAGCAAACGGAAGCCGGGTGCAAGGATTATAGACAGAGACAAAGCTCAAAAGCGCCGACAGTTCTTGACCCGACCGCCACTTTCAACTTGGAAGCTGCTTTCCGGTTTACCACAAACCACTTCTGTTTGTGAAAGAGAACCGTTGAAAATACCGCGCGTTTGTCCGAGCGCACCTAGCATACCATTTTGCAGTGGAAAACGCAACAAAGGGATGATCTCGGCATTAACGAAAATGGAAGAGCATTTTCGGCTGGATATAACACTTGCGAACTGATTAGAATGTAATGTATGCATATAAAAAGATATACAGCAAATGTAGTTCTTTTAGTTTTTAGTTAAAGTTGGAATTCTTTTGGATAATATAAAAATCCAGATGGAGATTATTGCAAAAGAGAATAACTAGAATGAGATGTGACAAAGTCAGCTTTGTCTTTTATGTTATGTTACCCCAGTCAATACTACTCTAGCAAACGTCTACGCGACATCACGGCAATGCTACAGGTTGGAAAGTGCTTTGCTCCTCGCAAGGTTGCTCTTTATCAACGACTCATCTCGTAGAATTTGAATACACAGTCGCGGCGCCGCGGTGTCCCCGGGAGTTACCGGGAGTGCGTCCGTACACGAGCGCTGCAACGCCGACAGCTCACTTCGTCGACGTGTTTTTCTGCATTCCACCAGTCGGCTTCCCCTGTAAACACTCGATTTAATCGCGCTGCGAAATAAGACGACCGTCCGGGCAACGATGATGACGGCGCGAGTCAAGCGAGCGCGAGTACGAGCGCTGTTTTCGCGGATTCCATCATCGGGACGCCGGGCATCGTCAGGAATTTCTGATCGGAGCGACGGTTTCCGTCTACGTCGTGACGAAACCGGTTTCTCTTTATGACGGGATATCGGACGGTTGCTCAGTCGGCTCGGAGATCGTCCTCCTCCATCGTGTCGTTTTTGGGGAAGACGCAACAGCGGCGAGGCGGTGAAGGGGTTAAACGTTACGCTGAAATGGGATATAAATAGTCGTTGCCTTCTTATTGCACCGTCTCTTTGTAAAAAATGCATAGTGGACAGTGCATGGTAAACGATTAAGGTGTTTCGTTTGGAAATCTCAACAAGTCTTGCAATGGAAAATGATGTGTCATGAGTGATAGTGATTATAATGAAAAAGAAAGTCATAATTCTAGTTTGAATCATCGGAAGATTGTATAAAAAACTTATAAAACTTACTATTTAAAATCTCAAGTCCCTATACTGACAACAATTAAGTTATACAACATATAGGAAAGAAATCAACAACTATTGATTTATTATAGAGAAAAACATAGCACTACACTAATTATAATAGTACACAATTAATAATAATATTAAGTTTGCAAACTATATTTCTCGATTGGAAATTTATCCCATGGTCCTGATTAGGTTGACCCTAATCAGTTATCTGTTTTGTATAAGATGATGTTATTGGATTCTGATGATGATGCAATCAGAGTCTTGTTAATTAGGAGCCAATAACACTACTTTGTACAAATCAAACAACTGATGGGGATCAATCTGATTTGGACCATCGGGTAAATTTCTAGTTGGGTTATAACAGCATATGCCATAGCACATAATTTCATTAAAAACAATGAGTCCAAATTGGACACAGATTAATTATATTTGTTACATTTAACTAATTAACTAACCAACCTACTAACCTAATTATTTATTTTAATTGATACATGCCCGATTGGTATATGCTCGAGTGGAATAACTCCTAGCCTTTACTGTTTCTTCTTAAACAATGATGACAAAAATTGGAGAATCATTCGTATACAAACAAGATGTAGGAGATGCACTTTTCTGCACGTGATTTTAAAATTAGATTTTGTTCTCAAAATTCACGTAAGGAACTGTTCATACATGAATACCCTAGAAGCTCGTTATCTTTCGACGACTAAAAACGTGAGCGGATCTGCCTTTGACAAAATCCGCTAAATCATAAATTTTACATTTTATCGAAACAGGAAGAGAAAAAGAAAAAGAATTTTTTCTCCTTTTGCCGAGGAAAAAAGTTCTCGCAGTACTGCTGTACGCACAATTCATGATTACCCTAGAGGTTTACGACAATGCGGGGCGCAGCGGCGCCGGTTTCTTTCTCCCTCAATCTTCCTTCTGCCCTTCCCGAGCAAACCCGTTCGCCGGGAGCAAACGCTTTGTCACAGCATGAACGTGCATATGAGCTACAAAGGGGGCGGGATTCGTTCATCGTGCAGCGAGTGGGGTGGTGCGGGTGTGGCTTCGCGCGATCCAAAGTCCGTCCCACTTGGCGATGTTGCCGATTTTGGTTTTGTCGCCAGGCGGCGCTGCCAAACACCAAGGACTGGACTTGGCCTGGTCGGTACCCTCACTTCGTACCGCGGCTCCGGCTCGTCGGAACCGTCCGCATTCACCTTGGCGCAGCCGAGTCGTTCCTTTCGTTGCAAGAAGCTCCGTTCACCGTGGCGTTTCTTCATATAGCACATGGACTAGGCAGGCCCTGCGTGCACCGAACGTTCCATTGGGGGTGAAGAAATAATCACGAGTGGGTAGTTTTATTTCGGTATCTTCGCGGTGTGATCGGTGGAGCTGTTTTAATTAGTGCGGGTGCGCGAACTCGCTCGACTCGGTGTTTGTCGTGGTCGCTTGTCGCAGTGCGTCGGTGCGATTCGGAATATGGTCCGCGAGTTACGGATTGTTAGCTGCCGATAATGTCCATGACAGTAACGGACGTCAGTGCTAATCTGTGAAGTGACATGGGTGTTACTCGCGTATGATTACCCGCGAACTGTCCCTGATTTCAAAGAAAGCGATGCGCCCGTGAGGGCTCCTCCCTCGACTATTTCCCGAAGGTGTCACGGAGGGATTCACCTCCCACGTTAGTGTCGTGATATCAGGAGTGTTGCGAGGGGAGTAACGGATAGAGAGGAGGACGAGGGTGGGCGGTGGTGGTGGTAGGAAGAGGACCCCAGCCACAGCGGACGCCATCTCCGCGTTATCGGCAAGCGGATCCCCCGGGACTCCCCCCCGAGCAGCATCGGCGTCGCGCACCCTCGGCGGGAACTACCCCGCGACAGCGGCCACCCTGATGGGAGTGTATGAGGAGCGCGCCCCTCCTACGACCGGCATGCACTGGGTGAGTGTCATCCCTCTGTCCGCGTTGCCCATTGGCCGTCGCGCACCACCCGGTACACCCCGCAGGGGGTGAAAACTCCTCGTTTCAGATGACGAGCAAACGATAGCATCTCCGCAAACACTTCTCCCTATCAAATTCAAGATGGTGAATAGAGTTGTTTAGCTTTACACGGGCACGAACGAAGAGAGTTTTTAGAGAGTTCGGTCTCCGATCAATTAGTTTTATTATGGACTTTTAATTATCAGGACTCAATCTGCAACGTAATACTTCCGGTCTTTTCTAACAATGACTTGGAAAAATGTTGACGTTAGAGATGAACGTGACTTTATAACTATAGTAAGAAATTGAAGTTACAGAAACCTGTCTCAATTATGTTTCATCTGACACTTTCTGCTGATTGAATTAGGATTGATGATTAGATTAGATTATATGTTATCTGTGTGCTAGGATATTTCTCTATTATACCCTAAATATGCCGGTATTACCCGGGAAAATTCGAATACTCGAATCATATTACCTGTATTACCTAGATACTCGTAATATCTATATTGTCTGAGTACTTAGATACTTGCATACTATATGAAATATATCGGTAATACCTGGGTACTCGAATACACAGATTACAAAGACAGTGTAGTACCTAGATATCCATATTACTCAGTTACACGGATTACTTGTTTTCTATCCGAAATGTGCGAATAAACTGAATACCCGAGTAATATGAGTATTATAAGTATCTTGATTAATGTTGATTAGAAATTTATTCCATGGTTCTAGACAGGTTGATCCTAATAAGTTATTTAGTTTGCAGAAGATGATGTTAATAACCCTTGTTATTAATAAAGTTTTGATTGCTATGCTGCGTTACATGACTTAGGACTATAACATCACCTTAACACACTAAACACCTTAACACACCTAATCACAAACTAAACTACTGATTGAGATCAAGAAACTGACCAGAACCACCAAATTTCTATTTGGGTGTCTGAATTCTCGTATGGTTAGAATTACCGTTCTTGTAGCCAAATCGGATTAATTCCTTGGTTTATTGCTAATTTTGAAAGTTTTATCGTCACTATCATCGTACAGTCAAAAAGCCGGTTTAATTCGCAATTTGAAAGTGCGACGAAAATCCAAGTTGGACCGCACAGATGCGAATTTAAAATGTGCGACGGCTGTATGAAATGAAAATTATTCAAATATGATGAAGAATTATCTGTTGTGTCAAATATTCTTGTTTCACAAAACTGTAAAAGATTTGTAATCTTCTATATGAAATAACATGTTATTAACGTTACAAGTTCTTAATTCACTATATGTAAATTTATCACAGACACATCACAATTTTAATAATTATTTAACTCTGTTTGTTATTGATCAAATAAACATTAAGATTATTAAGAGAAAAATGACGAAATTTCGAGCTAAAAATACGTTTGTCCCATTGATAAACGTTCGTATTGCACTTTTACTGGTATTTAGAAATTACGACAGTAATTTCTAATAACAAATTAACATATAAGCAATCAGAAACTTATATTAAAAATATATTTTTTAATTCAGAGTATTCTAAAAATATCTTGCTTAAATTTTCTTATCTAACGAAAGAGATTAAATTAATATTTAATCAAATTATATTTTGAATCACACACATACATCCACACACACAGGCTACTATCGATTAAACTAATGTTTATAATAAGAATTTAATAGGCAACCGATAATTATTCGGTAGCTAAAAGCAATGAGATTACGTGTCCAGGTGCGATAACACGGTCCACCTTCAGGTAACGTTAATCCGCTCTTAAACGACCGGCCGATGCCGTTGTAGGTAACGAGTACAGCTTGTAAACAAACGTAATTGATTGTCCCTTGTCGTCGGTTAATTAAACTGATGCATTAATCACGCGCCAATGAAAGAAACTGAACATTGCAAGGTAACGTTGTCAGTGAAAAATAACACGATAGTTTCTCATGTTTGATTTCATTAAATTGTGCATTATTAATTATTCTTCGGTCTATTAATTCCAATTTAATTTCCAATCAACGGAAATATTTATGTTACTTTAAAAATCTCCGAAAAATTTCTCAGTCTTTCTCTCTCTCTCTCTTTCTTGATATAATTTTATAAAATTTCTTTTTGTAATATATTAAGCTTATTAAATAATAAAGTGAGGCAATGAACAGTTGTAACTTTAATTTAAATAAATCGATCTTCTACATAGGTTTAATTATACTGCAGTTTTATTACATTTGTCACCAGTTAAAATTAAAGTACGAGATCTGGAAAGTAAGTCACTTTTGAGTTAAGTTTATGTTAATATAAATCGCCGCCTTTTGTTTAAAACAATTATTTTAGTATAAAGTAAATATAAATGCAATCTAATTCGAGACTCAAGATCTTAAAGAAACGAACAGACGAAGGGTGGAAACGTCAAGAGACATCGCAGAGCTCTTCTGGATGCGTATAATATTATTCGGGATATACGAGCCGTTTTATTACATCCTTGTCTTCAGGGGAAATTAATTATCCACCGAGGGCAGAACCGGTACCGTCGCGCCCTTTTGGGCTTACGGAAGGCAAAAAGAAATCGCCTCTCCTTTCTCCGATGCACTTAATGATTACATTTATTTGTTGCTTAACTTTATCCCTGTGTCTGTTTTACATACGCTACGTAAAATAATATTTCAAGGATGCGATTAATCCCCCTCAGATCTTTTTCACTGTTCAGTACTAATATGAATAAATACGTATGCTATTGATGAATTTATAAAAATTATTCACGTTATATATTATTAAATCTTAAATCAGAGTGATTAATAGTGTCAGTATCCAAGCGCCAAGGTGCTCAGTGCTATTACCTGAATATTTGAACTTTTATAATACCCTGTCAGTACTCAGATATTTTTAGTTATACCAGTAATTTAATAAATTATTCGGATACTATGGTTAACTTACATACAATGCCTTAGAAAAATAAAAGAGACAAATTTATTTGATGCAAAATCTACTTCGAGTAGTTCCCAAATACATGGATAACATCTTTGAATTGTCTATTGGGCAGATACTCAAGTGTCAGAACTACCCGGCTTATTTTGACAGCACTAATTTTTATAACAATAATTTAAATAATGGAACATGTCTTCTCTATTTTTCTCTTTCTTCTTATAACCAAAAATTTACAAGTTACGGTATTTCACTGAATCTCTTTTCACACTAACATATATTTCATATAACGCTCAAGAAATAAAATACGTCAGATATGCATATAACAGAAACATTAAACGCGTTTTCATATTTTTCTATATCCATCTATTATTCTGCAGCAAAAGGATTAACAAAGCTGTGCCACAATTGCGAAACCATCCATCTAATCCGCAGTATTGCAGCACTCTCATCCGGGAAAAACGCATCGAACGTATCATCGTGATATCGTTCGATTTGGCGTCGGTTAGTCTCACATCGGGAACGCTGCGCATTTTTCCAAACACATCTGCTTGGCAGAAAGAGGGGGCAAAAAGAGAGAAAGAGAGAGAAAGAGGAGAAAAGAGAGAAAGAGGGAGGGGGGGGGGAGAGAAAGAGAGAACGATTATTGTAGCTTCGATGAGATAAGGCCATCTCGTTGCGAATGTGTCTGGCTGCGATAGTGCGCCATTTGTGACGAGTGTAATTTATTGCACGCCGAGATTATATCCGCCGCCGTCGCGGCGGTCATCGTCGCTACCGAATGCTCGACATTTAACTTTGCACTCGAAGTTTCAACCTGCTCGGCCTCATCGCTGCACTTGTTGTTGACGTTATCACTTGTTCGTTTCTCATATGTGAATGTACAAGGTGTCGATAAGGAAAGTGTCCCGGTATTCAAGGATTATAAAACGACGAGTCGGTGAATTGTGGAAAATTTTTGTTAGAATAAAACGCGTAATATATGAGCACAAGGTTCAATCAGATTTTTTAAAAAGCGGTGCTAAAGCGTGTTGATGCGTAATATTAACGTGTTTTATTTGACGAAAGTTCAATTAAAAACGTTGATCTATAATATAATATATATATATATATATATATATATATATATATATATATATATAATTTGCAATATAAGACTTGCAGTGTTTCAATAAGGAATTTTTTGGGGGGGATTGTAGAATAAGATTCAAGCTACTTCAGGTGCAGAGATTTGGCGTTTAAAATTTAAAATTTTCTGTAGACATATGAAGGGGTTAACATGAACATCGCGCGGTTTATTCTCGCTGATTGTCATGTCGTGTCACACTTAATTTACGACGACCAAAGAGTGGCCCCCCGATTTTAGGGCCACGACGCTTGCGTGTCGAAATCATTTAGCATGCAAGGCGTAAATTGAATGGCATCGATGAACCACACGCAAATCCACCCTGGCAGCAGGGATACTTGAATTTAACGGGGAATTAGACACGAGGTATAATTACGTACAATTGCGTACCATACAATAACGAAAGATTCAGGCATTTGATATTAAATTTGCACATCTGTTTTCCCCGAGCAATATTTAGTAATATTTCAATCGTAAGCTTTCAAACCAAGAGGGATGTTTGTGCGATGATCATGTTTCTTCACGTGGGTGAAGCAATGAAGTTTTAAACGCTCAAATTACTGTTCAAACGATGTAAGACTTCTCAATATGACAAAAAATAACGAAATATTTTTAAAAATACTATTCCCAATCATTGTGTAATAAAAAAAATCCAAGGTGCGGCAAGATGTGTAACTTAACGAGATTCGTGTAAATGTAATTATTACTCAAAGAGTACCTTTCGAACGCTAAAATATTGAATATAAAAATTGAGTAAATTTAAGTAATCCTAATTGTGGCGGGCGAGACATGATTCTCGCGGAATGCAAGAAGCAGGATGATGCCCACCCGAAGGGAGACCGCTAATCTCCCGGGGTCAGGTCGCGATTCTTGGCCTCTCCGGTATGCGACACCCGCCGCTTTCAGCGTGTTAACAGTACCCTG